TTCCTGCTGATGAGTTTGTCACGGGCTCCTGTGTAGATCTTCTATATAGTCATACAGGGTTTGAAGTTTCAAAAGACGATGAAATTGTTGTTGGTAGCAGCTTTTCTTGCAAAGAGATGATTGATCTGGAGGCTAAGCTGGACTTTGAATTCCATGACAAGGAAAATGAGGTTTTCCTTGGCTTAGGAGCTCCATTACAGAAAGATAAAGGCATGGTTGGGTCAGAGCCAGCTCTTTTATCTGATCAGGTCTCTTCAAGCACAGTTGTTAATGAAATGCATCATACTCCATCTACGGTTCATTTGGGTGAGAGGCAGGAAGGAAGATTGCAAGACCAGAAGCCTGCCATTTCATTCGATGGTGAGTTTTTTAGTGGTCTTCTCTCTTGACATACTATGTTGGTTATTTATAGAGGCTTTATTTGCCTTGGCAGATCAGTATTTGGCACTTAGTGAGAAAAAAATTGCATCTTAAGTTCAAAGCTGTTTACTTGTTACATCCAATATGTTTGGCTGATGGAGGATCTGGCTTCTATTAAATTTATGGAGCTTTTGTTATGACTTGAAATTTTGATTTGTAGAGTTTTCTTAGATAGCATATGATCGAACTTAATATTTAAATCTTGAAAAGTGCTTGTCTACAATAAAGATTGAATTAATGGAATGGATGCATATTTTAAATCCAAATTCTGTTCATATTTTTCTGTTACCTCTCTCACCTACCATATTATGTGATTTTTCTAGTGTCATTTGATTATCTTATTTAATTCTTTCAGATAACGCATGTTATATATATGCCTCTTGTTTGCAATTAATACTGAGGAATAGAATGTAATGGCTGACTCTGCTGCTATTTCTGCTTTTCCCAGTGTACATCTTACCCTGCATTCAACCACTATATGCTTTAGAGATCAACTCATTATTAACTTTATTTAAATTATTTCAGATTAGCCTCATTGATCCTCATTCATTAGAGAATTTTTATGTTATTCTCTTTAAAGATGCTATAAACACACTGTAGAATCATCTTTAAATATGCAACTGTACAACCATATTCAATAGTTTTAATGTTTAGTCTATGCTTCTCCCTTTCAACTAGAATCTTTTTGACAAGTTCTAGTGTAACATTTTAGAGACACTCAGTGCTTAGATTAATGTTTGTCATGATTGATTAGACTGTGTTCTTAACCACATGATGAGATGTTTTTCTCCTTCTCAAATTCATCTTATTGTGGTCTTCTATTGAGACTCATGCTACCTGAAGGTGGGAGGAGAGTCACAAAGGTTTTGATCGTATCACCTTGAGAAACAAAAGTGGTTATAGATCTGTAGGCTCCATGAGGCTCAGTGGAAGTCAGACTAGCCACATATGTTTATCTTTGGGGGACTCCTTAGAAACATTTTATCCTGAAGTGTTGCAGATGATTCACTGTATAGACCCGAAAGATGGATATATGTGACTTGAATGAACCAGAGATTTTTTTTATTCAATATGTAATATCAAGAGGGTTTATTTTATTATGGGTAATCAAGTTTTTCGCTAGCGCAAGCCCCCATGGTTAATTACATTTTGGGCGATGACCCCTAGAACATTATTTGCTAAGGATATTTTATTTTCTTATAGGTTTGACATATATTGGGTTTTCTAAATGAGGTTCTCTATACCAATGACAAAATTGCTCAAGTGGCCACTCAACTTGTGTGGTATAACACATTCTAACTCACAAGGATGAGTACCATAATATATATAATTGTAGCTGAGCAAGTGAGGGGATGTTATCTTGTGATGTAGATATGTGGGTCTTATAACCGCCTGAAGAATTGAAGCTAGTCTGATAATGAGAATTGAAACATTATAAGAATAATGATAGCCTTAAACCTAGATCTAAGGGGGGACTAACAAACTAGTATGTCCAACAACCTAGATTAATGCAAATGCAGCACCACTTGGACCTAAGACTGCTCATGACCTTAATTCACAATCCTGCATTTAATGAATTGTCAGCTAGACTCACCTAATCGTATAAAATTAATGGTAATGATGATCATCATCATTATTGGATATGCTTTATGATTTTTTTTTCATTTTTTTTTATCTCATGTTGAATAAGATGTTAATTTTATTTGATGTAAATCTTTTTGAACTATTTCAATCCATGTTACCTTAGGTCTATTCCATTGTTTCTCAAATTCTTCAGCATTGTTCTCATCTAATGGTATATTTTTACTATTTGTTATTCATGTTCAAATCAGCTTCCCTATTTTTATCATGTATATTTTAGTCTCAGCACCCATGTAATATTATTACGCTTCAATTATATCCTTTCACTTTTTACCATATATTGAATTTATTATTCTCATTTTTGTCAAACTTAGCTTTTCTATGGATGATTATTTTCTAACTCAAAACTAGAGTTGCAATTCAATATGGTCGGCTAATTGTTTTATGGATATAATATTAGGTCTTCATGATATTCTATCATTGCATACTTCTCTAAACCACCACATTATTATACTCATAGAGCATTAACTCTAGAAGTAATATTCTTATCAATATCTCTATTTTTGTATAATTGATCCAAAATATTTCAATCTATGACGCCTAAATATATCTTTTATTTCTGAGTGATGCTAATTAATAATTATTAGAAATGCCAAATTTTGTATTATTTGCAATTGGTTATATTACACACACACACGCACACGCGCGCGCGCGCACACACACACATATGTATATACATATATATATTCATTTTTAATAAAAATTGGCTAGAGTCAATGATACGAGCCTCCAACCAACTTCATGTGTCTAACCACTTAGATCCCGCACATAGGCGGGCTTGAACCAAGGACCTCAGAGAACTTAGAACCGATATCGCAGATGTCAACCAAAGAGTCACGACGAGCAACACTATATATATGTGTGTAAATACACGCGCGCGCGCGCACACACACACACATATATATCTACACACACACCCCAGGGAACTTAGAACTGATATCGCAGATGTCAACCAAAGAGTCACGGGCATTCTTATAAATACACTATATATATGTGTGTAAATACACGCGCGCGCACACACACACACATATATCTATACACACACACACACACACACACACACCCGCACGCACGCACGAACGATTCCGAATGATGTCATCTATAAAAAGAAATATACTAATGCGCTTACTTTGAATGTCCTTTGCAAAAAAGAAACAAAAAAGACGCCTACTTTGAATGTCCTTTGCAAAAAAGAAAAAAAAAAGTCTTTTTTGTTTCTTGTTGTAATCCAAATACACTTAAAAACTTGTTGGTCACTACGCAATACTTAATCCTAGTTAATGATTTCAACATACTTTTGGCACACCCATTCTTTCATTAGTATGATACAAAATTTATGTTCTCAAGGTCAATAAAAATCGTAAGATTATTCTTTCTTTCATATTCCTTTGATTCTGTGAACAAAAAATCACTTTTATTATCTATTTTCATGCCATGAAAACAATTTAATGCCTTGACGTTGGCTTAATTTTTTGAAGTCCTTATTTGGGTGCTTTTTCTTGTAAATTTCATTATATGACTCATAAATTTGACTCTATATTTATTATGCTTTTAAATATCTTTTTATTTTCAAATGTTGGTATTAAAATACTATTCTTTTAGTAATTTGGCATCCTCTTAGTCTTTGGAAATTATTTGAAAGATTTATTAACTTCTTCATAGAAAAAAAAGTGGCGCCAAAAGTTGGTGGTGATGATCCTTAATTAGTGCATACCTTCTCCACAAATAGAATATTTGTTAAGCTTTGAGGGCCATAGATTCATGTAGTTTGCATACCTTTTTCTCAAATTGCAATATCATGGCAATGGAGTTAATGGTCATGCATTACAGCAGTTAGATATTTCATTAATTGCGACTTACAGATCAATAATTTTTTAGGACATTGTGACTCACGCATTGGTACTTTTGTTGATCATTTCAGGAATTCTACAAGATAAACCAGTGCTTATTGACCTTAATCTACCTCTTGAAAATGAGTGTTCTCTTGCTCTTAATGATCCTGCGGAAGATATTAATCTTAAACTTTTTTCTTCTGTTGCACATGATGGAATTCTTGAGCATAATCAAAGCAACCAAGGTGAAGCTTCATTTATACCCGAGCCACTGTCATCTTATTCTATTACAAAAGCTAAATCTGATAATCAAGCTGATTGCTTGAGTTGCCATGGCCAAGGTTCAAAACCTTCTAGATCACCGGAATTTGAGCTGATTCTGGACGCTACAAAAGATAAAGGTGACACTGACATCAAGTTAAGTTCTAATAAGCTTATGGCATTTTCTTTCCAGGTTCAAGTAGATTTTTGTGGAAAGCCTGCGAAAGGATCTACTAATAACCGAGCTTTTATTACTGTAAACGATGTTTCCTTATCCTCAATAAGCTCGTGTGATCAAGCGAAATTGGATTTAGATTTTTCATCTGACAAACTGCTATCTGCAGTACGAAGTGATAACAAGAGGCAGGATTCAAACATAACTTTCAGCAACATTACCAATCTACCACAACCTTTAATTCGAGATTTGGTTAACGAATTATACTATGATGGAAGTGTAGAAGATACTTTATCAAGTCACGCCTTTGCTCAAGATGTAGCTCAACGCTATGCACTTTCCAGAAAGTTCCCAACCGGATGCAATTCTGCTAGCAAAACTAGAAACACTATGTCAATGTCACAGGACAAAATAGTTGAGGAACCTGATACACTTTCCAAAACTGATGATTCTGTAACCACTCAGCTAAATTCTGCCCAAAATGATGGATCTTCCATGGAAAAACTAAGCATAGAACAGGATTTTACCATTGCAGCAGCAGCCGAGGTTCTCATGGGTCTTTCGTCTGAAAGGCCCTCCTTCCCTATAGATCATCAGCGAGAAGTTGATTGTAACAGTGGGAACAATCAACCCCTGCATTCATCTGATTCTTTTGAGAGTGAGGCCCTCCAGTTATCTGAGGTTCAAACTGAACATCGCCTCAGTATTTCTGAACCACTGAACCGGACTGAAAGAGAGAGGAATGTAAATGGGCTTAGGCTACGAAGAGGAAAGGGGCTCCGAGATTTCCAGAAAGAGATCTTACCAGGGCTAGCATCCCTAGCTAGGCATGAAATTTGCGAAGACATGCATAATATTGGGCACAAGCTCAGGAGAACTGCTTCCAGAAATGCAAGGGTAAATTGGTTTGTGGCTGTTCAAGGTCGAAGGTCAAGACCGTGTTCAGGGCTTCAAAGAAACTAAAGCTTTAGATTCTTTCAGGTCTGTGAATGGCCGCTGTAATAAAGTTTTTCTTATGGAGCCACGATAACTAATAACCAGTCTTTAAGGCTAGCTGAGAATTCGTTAAATGTGATCCGGGTTAGGCATGTGTATGAATCTGCTAGTTTTCTCAAAAAGCCTAAGAAGTCTGTTGAAGATTTGATAAAAGTGATCCAGGATTTGAATGTGAAGGTAGCAGTGCTAGTTTTCTGAATTAAGTCATTAAGGTATTGAATTGCCAGACTGAGATCCATGCTGGTTACTGTTTTGTCCTGCATTCTTGCATTGTTATTTAGAGACTTGCTTGTGCAGAGATTATTAAATATTATGGCATGAAAAGAGAATAAGTGATTTTATAACTTTTTTTTCACCGTTTGACGAACTGCTTGCCACATTTTCTGGAATGTGAATGTCATGATGCACTTCATTACCTTTTATTAGGAGTGAAAATCAGTATATTGAAAGACTATATTGCGCATTTACACGTGAGGTAGTGGCTGAGGGTGTGCTTTCTCACCGTAAGATCACGGATTTGAATCGCGTATATCGCCCGTGTTCACCTTCCCCCTCCGCCCTCCCTCCCAAAAAAAAGAGGTTTATCGGCCAAGCTAGAGGGTGGTATGAGACAAAATGTCTTTTTTATTACTTCATCATCACTCCCTACTATGGAATTCTTTTTTGTTCATTTCTAGGAGTTTCAAGTCCTAAATTGATGTGGCCTTTATTTTTTTTGATAATGAAGAGCGATAAATCATAAAATATGTGATTAAATTTCGTAGATGTTATCATTTCCGTTAACTAATGGCCCACTGTTCTAACTCCATGTCGTTTGATTCGGAGCCATTTGGTATGGTCTTGATTTATGTTAGATCAAACCATTATTGGTTATTAAATTTGTCTTTATTGAGCCTAGGCGTTTGGTTTACCAATTGACTAGATTGTGAATCTGTTCAGAATTATAAGCTGAACAATGAATCATGAAAATAAACAGGAAGAAACAATGGTATAGAATGAGATGTATTCACCTATGTATATATATCCAGAATACTTGGAGAATAGATTTATATGTAGAATTTAAATATGAGTATAGGATGTGATGCGTGTTCGTGATTTGTTGAGACAGTTAGGATATAATAGCCAAGGATATAAGGATAGTTAGCCACCAGGGTTTTCATATGTTGTTTGTTATGTATAGATATGTTGTTAAGCCTGTGAGAATGAAACTTGAGTTTTCCAAGTAACTTGTGGAATGTAAAGTTCAATATGCTTTTGGTGAGTATATTAGCAATTTGACCCTCTGTGGTTATACGACAAATCTATATTGTTTTTGAGGCAATGTGGTCCCAAATGAAGTGAAAATCTAATATTTATATGTTTCGTGCGACCCATGAAGATAGGTTGTTGTCTATGGCAATTGTGGAGGTGTTGTAGAGGTGCGGCGTTGGATGAGCCATGGGGAGGTTTGGTTTTGGAGGAAATGATGTAGCCATACAATTTTCATGGTTGTTGTTGCTAGTGTGTAGTATTTGTCTTTCGTCAAGGTGCATGTGATGATTTTTTGTCTCTAAACTTGCTAGAGAATGGGTGTATGGCTAAGGAGAGATCAATAAGCAATGGTGAGCTCGTAATCAGACTCATTGCTGGCCCAATTCGAGTCCAAATAAGCTTTTAAGGTAAGTTCCCCTTTGACAACTAAGAGGCCATGAATGGGACTGCCTTTGAGGTATTTAAGCACTCATTTGAATATTTGGTAGTGTTGGTGAAGTGGATTATGTGTATGTTTGTATATCTTCTTTGTGGGCGAAAGCAATATCTAGGCATGTGAGTGTTAACTACTTGGGTGAACGTGCAAGTTATCAATGGTGTGATGTCAGATAAGGGAGTGAGAGTGGAGGATCAATGGTAAATTTGGTGAATATATGCGTAGATACTAGCTTTTAGTCTAGTAGACTAGCTCTGTGATGCAATATAAGTAGGCCGGGAGTTTTATGTAGGAAGTGGCATTGAGGAGTATGCTGAAATTTGATTCTAAGGAGGTGAAGATGGGACCCTATTCTTTGAGATTGAAGTGATTATTAAGTTTTTGGTGAGATGTTGAATGAAGATTGCAAAATCTCATGAAAAGAGAATGTTAATATGAGAAGAGAGGGATCAATTGAACTGAGAATTAAGCCTTATTCTTTAAGGTATCCTGGGAAGGTTGGGTACAACTGCATTGGTGAGGAGGCAGTGACCCAGACAGGTATGTTTTCTTGTGTTTGCAGTAGCCACGACATGTACACCTCTGGGACTGCTGGATCATTAAAAGGTATGCCATGACTGCAGCGACTCGAACAAAAGGATATGCTGAGAAGGCAGTGACCCAATATTGCACTTTAAAGGTATGTTTTCTTGTGTTTTTAGTTGTAGGTACACCAAATTGAAGAATTTAGAGTGATTGGAGCAAAATGAATAAAAATGGACCAAAACGGAGCAAATCGAAGCAAATCGGGTCGAATCGGGGCACACCGGAGCCATGGGGACCAAAATCGGACACTTAAGTGCCTGTGCCCGACGCTTAAGCACCCAAATATGACGCTTAGGCACCCCCAGACAGAGAGGGGGACGCTTAAGCGCCCAAAAATCGGCTCTTAGGCGCCAAAGACGGTTTTCAACATATCTTCTAGAATATACATCGGATTTAGACGATTTTTGATGCGTTGCTTCGTGCATCTCTTGGGGAATTCATTGTAAATGATAAAAGGGACTTTCTATAAGAATTTGGGGCGGTTATATTGAGTTATGAAGAGTCACTTAATGCACCATTTGGAGATTCAATGAATATGGACAGTTTTGAAGAGACACTTAAGAATTTCTTGGGAAATTATAATTAAGGCTTTGAAATATTTTTAAAATAACTCTTGGACTCTTGAATCAATTGGAAGAGGAGAAGAAGGCTTGGAGAAGAAGAAGAAGGCTTGGGCGTGAGCCCCAAATGGGGCGGCAATGTGAGAGATAAAGAGAGAGTGTGAGAATTTCTTCTTTTCTTTTCACTTTGTTCTTGGTAAAAATTGTAAGGATATTACTTTTGATATACAAGGAGAGTTTGATTTCCGTCAGAGAGTATTTTCATTGTATTTTGATTTAAATTTAGTACTTTATTTTTATGATTTCAAACTCTTGTTCAATGAAAAGTTTTTGTTGTGTTCTATGTGTAGTGAGTAGTTTTCTTTACTCTTCCCTCTTGTAATGAATTAGTATGCATGTGTAGGATATAGAATTGAGTAGATTGAGAATATATTCTGATGATTTTACTTTGTTCTTCATTTACATGTTTGATCAACTTGCATGTTAAAATCTGTTGTGAGAATATGTAAGATCCATGATTGTGTTTTCTCAATCAACTATGGTAGAATCACATGAGATTGCATGGATGAGAATATAGTCCATATAGTTGAGTCCAAATAAATAGGAAAATAATCTTTAATGGGTGTAGAATTAGAGGACTTTAGAGTGACAGACTAAAGCCCCCTAATTTGGTCTATTGTTTTAGGTTTTAATGCGAGATGTTAGCCTCCAGGTGAAGGGATAAGAGGGAACTCTAGAGTGAGAGCTAGTATTTCTCTCTGCCTAACCCATCTTCAGAACTATTCAAACTTTAGATTAACCAATGTTCTTTATAGCTAGCATCTCTAGTAAGGGTTATAGCATCTCTAGTAAGGGTGAAGAATATAATTGCTTCTATTTGTCACAATCTCTCTCACTACTTGTTTACTTTTACACATGTCACTAATTTCATTGCATGAGGAAGAACACTTTTAATATATTAAACCCCAATTTCTGATTTTCACTAAGTACTTTCGTTTAGGAGTAGAAGTATTATTATAGTGATAATTGTAGGATATAATCAAATTTAAACCTTTATTGACCTTCCAAGCTAGGGCATGTTATTCTAGACTATAACTTCTCTTGAAAGCCGTCGTGATTAACCTCGATCTCCATGTGATCGATATTCGTGGCTTAATCAGAAAGTCCTATATTACTTGATAATGATACGTATACTTGCGTAGAATCCCTATAATTTTAAAGATCATTAAAATCTTACTTTGCTTGGGATCAAGTTTTTGGTGCATTACCGGGGATTAAAATCTTCAAGTGGTTGTGTGAACTTCATAAATTCTTGCATATAAAAAAATATCGGGATCAAGTTTTTGACGTCGTTGTCGGGGATCACAACGATTGATCTTGACTTTTAGGAGAATTTTAGTTGAAATAATTAAGCCTAGACTTGGAACACTTTAGTGTCGTAAAAACTATTTTCGTGTGAAAGTGTTTTTTTTTTCTTATGAAAAAGTTTTATGGAAAAAAAATAGTTTGTGCGAAAAACATGGTGTTTATGAAAATGTGTTATAGTGATGAATATATTTTTTGTTTTATTTGTTTACTTATTAATGTATTATTTGTTGTGTTGTGTATGTCAAACAAATGATCTACAGGACTTGTGCTTTATGATCTCGAGTTAGAATAAAAGAAAAAAATCAAAAAACATGAAGGAATTGAAAAATTAGAAATGGAAATGGAAAACGTTCAAAATAAAAACTTAGAAAATCATCATAAATCATTGAGGGATTATGTAAATTCTACGACTGATGAAATTCACTCAAGTATACAAACCCCTGTCGTAGATGCTGACTTGTTTGAAATTAATCCAGGGATTATCCAACTTGTGCAGAACAACCAGTTTGAGGGAACTCCTTTGGAGGATCCTTATTTACACTTATCAAGTTTTGTAGAAATTTGTGCTACATTTCGTTATAATGGCATGTCAGACGATGTTGTTAGACTAAGGCTTTTTTCTTTCTTACTAAGGGATAAGACTAAAATGTGGTTATACTCATTAGCACCTGCCTCTAATAAAAAATTGGAGGAGTTAACTCAGAAATTCTTAGTTAAGTATTTTCCACCTTCAAGGACAATTAAACTTAGTAAAGATATTATCTCGTCTCATTTTGTCAGTATAAAGGGGAATCAATATACGAAGCATGAGAAAGATTTAAGGAACTCATAAGGAACTCATAAGAAAGTGTTCACACCATGCTCTGCCTGATTGGTTAATCATTTAAACTTCTTACAATGGGTCAGTATGATCCCTTAGGTCTATAATTGACGTTGTCACTGCTGGATCATTAATATCAAAACCATTTGATGAAGCATATGCGTTAATTGAAGAAATGAAGAAATGAGAATTTCAATGACCCTCTACAAGGGTAAATCCTAAAAAGGTAGTCAGTCCCTCTACAAGGGTAAATCCTAAATTCATGATACATTTTCATGATACATATGCGATTGCAATTCTTGCATCTTAGGTTGCTAC